AAAAAAAAAAAAAAAAAAGGACCAACAACAGGAGGAGCTCCTTGAACTCGGGACCCAACCCCCCAGCTCTAAGGCAGGAAAACCTCCTTGCCAAGGCAGGAATTACCAACAGGGATTGGACAAACCCGTGCTCCCGCCAGAAGCGCCCTGCTCCGTGTTCGGAGCCGGACACACGGCAGTTGTGGGGACAGGCCCGGAAGGTGGGTGGGCAGTGTTTTTCTGCTCAGATCCCAGAACCCACGTCCACCCCCACTTACCTTTGGGGTCACCCAGTCCTTCCGGCTGGGGGTCTGGGTCTTGACCATGCACTTGGTCCAGGCAGTGACATCACCCGTACAGTAGTAAGCGTCGCTCCTGAACACCAGCTGGCCCGAGCACTCCTCACAGGGGAGGAGGGCACCGAACACCATGCCGTCGGCCACACGATCCAAGATCTGAAGCCAAGAGAGGAGAAGCTACAGGAAGGCCGCTCACCAACATGGGCAGACCGCACTCACTGAGCGGAGAGGGCTGGCCCCGAAAAGGACTCCCCGGGGCCGCTGGTATACACGCAGTGGTCTGGCTTCTCTACTTTAAGAGACCTCCTGTCCACACCGCAGTACCACAGCCCACCGTCCCCTCCTACTGTGCAGGGAGCTACACCACCCGGGGAACCAGTGGGGTGCTGGCAGGCCTCCCCTTGCAAGGGGGGCTCCATGCCCTCCAGACCTGGTGGCCCCTGGGCCCCTGGGCCTTAAAATGTGTGGCATGAACACACAAGGCAAATACACAGCCCACCCTAATCTCCCCCAAATCCTAATCCCAGGGCGGACATAGGGGGAGGTCTTCCTGCCCCCGGATGTGGTGACCAGGCCACAGAACGGCGGCATTTCCACTCCTCCGGATCAAGACCAGCGGGTGTCCCACCAGAGGGCCTCCCACATCCCCCCGGGGGAGGGGCGGGGGGGACACGACAACAGGGACGGCACCCAGCATCCTGGCCCCCTCCCAGGTCTCACTGAACACAGAAGTAGCTCACCGCCGACTCCCCGGAGGGCACTTGCTGCTTGTTGAAGATGAGCAGCTCTTTCAGGTCATTTGTCGAACACGCTTTCTTTAGCTCGTCTTTGATGTTCCAGATCAGCTCGTTCTGGGCCTGCAGACAGAGCCAGGCAAGTGACAGCCCAGCTCTGTCCAAACAGAGACCCCACTAGAGGGGGTTCCCCCGTCTCAGTCTCCACTGGGGTCCTTGTGTGTCAGCTGAGCTGCGCCTCCAAGCTGGTCTCCTCCACAGGAAAGTGGTCCAGCCGCGCTCCCATGGCATTCCGGTTCCACCTGGTTCTACCGGGAGCACACCGTCCTGGGACCACCCGGCAAAGAGCCAGGTGCCAGGGCTCACTGGCCCCAACATTTGCATCCAAGAACACGGGGCGTGGCTGTTCTCCGACCCGAACATGGGGCGGGGTGGGACCGATGGACAATTCCCAAGCACCCCCACCGGCCTCAGCAGCATCACACGGGGACGGATCTACACTTCTCAGTCTTGGCGGCAACATTCATGCAGTGCCTACTCCTTGTGGAAGCTCTGCGTATCAGCCTCCCCCGTCAGAGCATGGGTGGGGCGAGCCATGACCTCCCTCGCTAGGGTCCCCAGCAAGATACTCACCACCTCCTGGCCGCAGACTGTACCCCTGCATACCAGACCTAAAATGCCAGCCCCATCGACCCCATGGAGTCACTCTCCACACCAGTGAGGATTTTAATGGGGCCTGTTTGTTTTTTTTTTAAAGATTTTATTTTTAAGTAATCTCTACCCCCGCCAAACGGGGTTCAAACTCATGACCCCAAGATCAACAATTGCAGGCTCTATCGACTGAGCCAGCCAGGCGCCCCTCAAGTGAGAAAGATTTTAACGCGACCAGCAAAGCGACACCACACACATGTGCGCCTATTCCCAGCTTCGCCGTACCTGCCATCCGCGCCCTCTCCCCCCCCGCCCCCAGCACCTGCGCCGCATTGCCAGTCACGGGGCTGAGGGGGACGGGGGAGCACCTGCTAAGTCCAGCAGTCCAAGTTTAAACCGAGGGACTGGAACCACATCACCTGCTTGGCCAAGGCCTGGGGAACATGTGAATTCCGGACGTTTCCTTTCATCTCTGATGACGCTCAAGTGACCACCACACCAAATGACCTAACCACAACCCTACCACAGCCAGATTCCCTGAAGGACGACCATCACACCAATCGGTGATTCCTAGCAAGCAGCTGCAACCCGATCAGAAACTGCTTCTGATTTTTATTCCGCTGGCAAAAACTGAATCCTCTCACGAGAGGGCCAAGTAGCTGGAAATCATGTTCCCAAGACCAGACTGACACGGGTCCTCCCCTGGTTTTCCAGTTTTCTCACACATTCCAGAGCCGCGCATACTGTGCACGAACTTGTGTGTCAGCACCAAACACCCAGCATTTTCTGATCAATCATTTTTACTTGGATTCAACGCATGTGTGATCAACACAGTGCTGAATGTCTGGTCCGCAACTATGGACTCTGTGGGTGGTTCTGTCCTTCACTACACGCCTTCTATCGCTTTTGCAGACAAGAGCTCTCCACTGAAGAACTAGGGAACAGCCCTGTCTCTTCCAATCTGCTGTGCGTACTGAGCAAGTCTGGCATCCCTGAACTTAACACTCCATGCGCAGCGTCCGCCAGTGACCCTCCAGGTGCAGGATGCACGGTGCCGTGAGGCTGGGGAGCCCCAGGTGGGGCTCTCCTTCAAGCACCAAGGCCTTCTCTGGGGGTGGAGGGAACGCCGTGCTATTTCACCACTGCTTCCAGTTTGGGAGTTCTTGGAGGTCTTGGTAAGTGGGACGCACACACCCCCTGGAACTTTCATCCCAGAATGAGGGCAAAAAATTAAGACAACAATAAGCGGAGACACACAGCTCAGAACTCACCTTGAGGGCCCTCTCAAGCCTACTATCTTTGTCCTTTTCTTTCTTAGATTTCTTCTTGGCCACTTCAACCATCCCATCCACCTCGTCGCCTTTCCTCTTTCTGAAAGAGACACGGGACGAAAGAGAGCCATCAGAACCCTGGAACCAGTGACTCAGGGGACGCAGGACCTTCCCATCTGTGCACCTCCTGTCTGCCAGGCCCCAAACGCACTGCATGTCCCTCTGCCCCTGGGAGCTCGCGGTCTGCCCAGGCAGGATTGGCGTCAGGCCCCACATACTTTGCTGCCAACGAGAGGCTCAGGGGTGGCCCCACGGCCTTGGAACAGCCTGCCCAGGATCCATGGCTCAGGCCCCATCTGACGTGAAAACCCCCATGTATCTCTTAGCACGAATGAAGCAGCTCGAAAGTTCTGGCAGAGACCGTGACAGGTAAGCCCATTGCCAACGGGCAGGGATTGTAGAAAGATGAACCACTCATGCCAGGCGCCCAGCCTTTTAAGCTAAACCACAGGGCAGCTCCTAGGGCAGTTCCTAGGGCAGTTTTCCCGGGCGGGGCTGCACTGTCATCCCAACCCCACCCACAGGAGCGAGATTCTCGGCACCGCTCACCAGGCGGAGGGAGGCAGGAAGGGTCATGGGCAGCGCCCCCGCGCTGGAACAGGGCAGAGCAGTCATGGCAGTTAACTCAAATGCAGCTGTTACAGACCCGACTTCAAACCCTTGCATTTTCCCTCATCCGTGAAACAGAACACCGCACGCCCTCCAGGACCGTGAACTGTCCCCCACCAAGCCCGCAGCCCGGTGCCCGTCACACCGTTACTACCCCGCCGGTGCCGGCTGTTGCTACGGCCACACGGGAGCTGAGGGCTCCCTGCGCATGACCTTAATCCACGAGCCCGGTTTTCCAGTTTGCCCACCTACCCCGGAGCCGCACATGCTGTGCACCAGCTTGTGTGTGATGAACCCAGACAGTGCACAACAGCTCTGTGACGACAGGAAGGTCAGGGTCACCCCAATCCTAATGCCGCCCACAGCCAAGCATGGCCCTACCACACCTCCTCTGTGCCCATGACCCCCAGCGACTCCAGACTGGGGCCCAGGGCCCAGCAGAGGGCACAGGAAAGAACAAGAGCCCACGGACTCCAGACTGGCTCCGACCGGGCTTCCCGTCCTGAATGCTGGCGCCACAGGAACCCCATGGCGTTCTGATGCTACACCAGGGGCTTCTCATCCACGGCTCCCACCACCATCCTAACAGCAGCATCAGACCCACACATGGGATGCCGTGGGGACCGGAAAGCGAGTCATGCAGGGGTCCCAGGAAATGGGGTGGTTGGCCAGGCAGGGAGAATACTCAGGGCAGGAGGGGATTGGCAGTGGGTTGGTTAGCTGGTTGTGCCTGTCTGTGGATCAGACGGGAGAGCACTACAGGAGCGTGTGCAGGGGAGGGGCGGAGCGCGGCTGTCACCGTCCCTCGCTCCGCATGCCCAGCCTGCTGACGGTCAGCAGAGGGAGACACGGGAATAGGCTGGACTCTGCAGGGTCTCCCCGAAGCCCCACCCGCCTCCCACGGTCCCCCACCTACCCTTCACTCTTGACTCCGGGAAGCTGCTTCTTCAGGGTTTCTTTATCCTCTGCGGCAAGCAGGCTGAAGCCCTTGAGCTGGCTGGCACTGTACTCGGGCCGGAAGCCCAGCTCCTCTCTGTTCTTCACAAAGCAGTTTGGGTGGTACCAGCGGTCGATCATGCCCAGCTGGGGCTTCTCTGGATCCAGCATCTTCTTGGACAGTCGGATCTGGCCCTGCAGGAAGAACCACACGTGGTACCAAGAAGACAAGAAGATGGCGACATCAGGGACCTGGGGGGACATGGGTCTCACGGTGCCCCAGCCGGCAGGGCCTCAGGCCCACATCGAGAGCACTGGGAGGGCCGTGGAAGCTTCAGACCGCTTTCTGCCCCCAAGGACTGTGTGCTAGCCTAGGCCTCAGCACCCCAGTTTTAAATGGGGTCAACTCCAACTAGGCATCTACCCACCCACACGGGCACGTGAGGACACGCAACCTTTTCCCTGAGATGTTCTGCTGGCCCGGAAGCCGGCCTTGGACCACCACCGAGGACGCCACCCTGCAGACCCCCACCCCACCCCAGGGGGCTTTTCTGCCATCCCCACCGCTGCCCACATGCTACAAACCCCAAGCAGCCTCGTGCACCGCGCCCGACGTTCCTCAGGAGTTCCGAGCACGGGACGCTGAACCACTAGCGCTGGGCTAGCCCCCCGAAGCCCGGGTATCTCCTCTTCTCTAGATACCTGAGCGGCTCTGGGGGCTGCCCCCTACCCTGGGCTCACCTTCTCTATTTTCTCCAAGCAGCCCTTGCACGTGCTTCTGTTGGACTTGGCGTACTCGGCCGTGAAGTCAGCCAGCGTCTTGTCCGTCTTGCCGCCGCCTCCATCCTGGCCTTTGCCTGAAGGATGGAACACAGCAGTCCCGAGCTCAGCCTCAGGGCGGCTCCGGAGAGCCCGAATCCCCCGGACCCCCCAGACCCCTTCACCGGGACACCTCATGTCTGGCCCTCCCGCGTCTGCCTGTAACCGCTGTGGCTAACACGGCTGCTTTTCCGGCAATAACAGACAACCCTTCCTTGGACACGCTCTCGAAAGGGCACGGCGCCGGCGGCCACCTGTCTCACCTTCCGGCTCCCTCCATCACTGCCCTGGCCCCCCCTCACTTCAGAAAGTGCTTCCATAGCACTTATTGTGAAAGCCACGTCCTCCACTACATTCGAACTCCACCTTCTGATTTCCGTGATCCTTCTAGGCATCAAGTTACGTGCTGAAATTAAAGGGTGTATCTTCATACAGCAACAGACAGGAGGGCAAGTAAGAAGCACGCAGGGAGGCAGCATTTCTAAATCAGTGGGGGAAAGCTGTGGTCATTCAGCAAGGAGCCCTGGGAACACACAGCCAAGCATTCAGGAACAAAGGAGTCTTTTCTTACATAAAAGTCAGTCCAAGACTGAATGTTTCTGTCTTAAGATCAGGAACAAGACAAGGCTATCTTCCCCCACCACATCTATACAACGTTGTATCGGAGGCTCTACCAAGTGCCCCTTGGGCAAGAAACAGAGACCAGAGGTGTAAGCGTGGAAAAGGACAGGTACAGTCACCTCTACCTGTAGAGACAGGATTGCACCAGCAGAAAGAGAGAAGAAAAACTACTACTGTTAAGTGAATTGAGTAAATTTGGATAATGCAAAGTCAACATATGAGATGTTCCTATATACGGGGTGCTTGGGTGGCTCAATTGTTAAGCATCTGTCTTCGGCTCAGGTCATGATCCCGGGGTCCTGGGATCGAGCCCTGCGTTGGGCTCCCTGCTCTGCGGGAGGCCTGCTTCTCCCTCTCCCACTCCCCCTGCTTGTGTCCCCTCTCTCGCCGTCTCTCTTGCTGTCTGTCAAACAAATAAGATTAAAAAAAAAAAGTTCCTATACATGAAAAATACACATTAGAAAAAGAAATTAAACTGTTTAGCCTTTAAACATATAGAACACTCAGAAACAGATTTACCAAGACACACAAATCCTCTACATGAAAGCTTTACCATGGTATAAAATTAACAAAGACCTAAATAAATGGAAATACACTTCATGTTTATGTATTAACTCAATTTGTTAACGTTATCAATAAGTCAATCCAGTTTGATCCACAGATTCCAAGTGATGCTAATCAAAATCCTAGTGAGCCTGTCTGCGCAGGAAATCAGTATGTTTACCACAAAATTTTTAAGGAACTGCAAAGGACCTAGAAAGCTCAACAGAATATTGAAAAAAGAACAAAGCTGAAGGATCCACACTACGTGATTTCATGATGTCCCACAAAGTTGTAGGAATTAAGATGGTGGGGTGCCCCCAGACAAACCAGCCAAGGGGACCAGAGTCCAGAGACACCTGCAGTCAACTGGTTCTAACAAAGTCTTTACAAATGGTATGGGAACAACATGGTATCCACACAGAAATACCAAAAAACCCACCCCGTCCTCACACCTAACACAAACGTTCATTTACGACAGATCAGAAACCAAACACAAACGCCAGAACCACAAAACTTCCAGAAAACAAAGGAGGGTATGGTCACAATCTTAGAACAGGAAAGATTTCTCAGGATGCAGACGGCACTAACCAAAAAGGAGAAAAAAAAATATCAACTACCGCTCTTCATAAAATGTCAGCAATTAAACAAAAGACAAACAAACCCCAGAATGAGAGAAGGTATTCACATTATTTATATGTAATAAAAGACTTGCACCTATTCTAAAAACTCTTACAACTCAAGAAAAAGACCAAAGCAAATTAGGGTGCCTGGGTGGCTCCGTCAGTGAAGCGTCCGACTTCGGCTCAGTTCATGATCTCAGGGTGGTGAGATCGAGCCCCACGTCAGGATCTATGCTCAGTGGGGAGTCTGCTTGGGATTCTCTCTCCCTCTGCCCGTGCTCGCACACATGCACGCTCTCAAATAAATAAATCTTAAAAAAAAAACAAACCCCAAAAAGACCACTACAAATTAAAACCACAACGCGCTCTCACTACACACACATCTGTGGCCAATACTGAAGAGTGCCCGTGCCAGGTGCTGGCGAGGATGTGAAATGGTACGACTTGGGAAGGCAGTTGGGCAGTTTCCTTAAACAGCTGAATGGACACCTACGGACACTCTGCGGCTCCATTCCTAGGTGTCCGCCCCGGTGAAACACGAGCGCTGTCACGCAGAGACGTGCACACACGTGAACAGCAGCTGTATTTGTACCAGCGGGAAGCTGGCAACAGAAGGCCAGATCAATGGGGATCTACTGCAAGGATTACCCCTCAGCCGTCAAAAGCATAACGTGCTGACGCACGTGTCTCACGGGCGTTGTGCTGAGCGGAAGGAGGTTATGGGAGAAGTCCACGCTACTCCTTTGCTTCCGAAATCCTAAGTCACACAAAATCAATCCAAGGGGACACAAATCAAAGCCTGGTCCCCTGGGTGGGGAGGTAACAGAGAGAGGGCACAAGGAACTTCCTGGGGGGAACGGAAAGCTCCCCAACGGCATGGGGTGTATGTTGCACGACTGCCTGCGTTTGTCCAATATCACGGAACTGCATGTACATCACTTTAAAAATCCCAGATGAAGAACTGAAAAATAAGACCAGAACCAGAAACTGTAAACGAACAGACATGATTGCAGAACATTTAGTCCAGGATGAAGCTTTAATGTGGCAAAACATACAAACGTGCTTCAAAGAAACACGTCAAAGGGCAGCCTGGCTGATTGGTGGAGCACGCCAACTCTTGATCTCAGGGTTGTGAGTTTGAGCCCCACATCAGGGGTTGAGTTTACTCAAAACAAAACTTTATATTAAAATTAAAAAGTCTATATATGTTAAAAAGTCAAACTGGTAAATATATTTGCAGAACAGACAACAAAGAATTCATATCTTGTTTCATTACGAAAAACACAAAATGCCCTAAAGGATGAGGCAAGGACACCTAACAAATATCAAATTAATAAAACCGACTACTGAAGAGGACAAAGCCCTGGGATGGGGGGATGGATAACTAAACTGTGGCGTACCCACGCTGTGGGATGACAGCACGGACGACCCCGAGCGAGGCAAGCCAGTCCCAGGAGGACAAACCCTGCGTGACTCCCCTCCCAGGAGGCTCCCAGGAGGCCCATTCAGACAGAAATCATAGTGGGGGAGGAAAAACAGGGGCTACTGTGAACCGGGCACGGCGTTCCAGCTGGGAAGATGAGAACATTCTGGAGGGGATGGAGTGCCGGTTGTAGTGTGGGTCATGCTGCCAAAGCCCACACCGGAACACGGCTCAGATGACGGATTTCCCATTACGTGTGTTTAACCACACAGAGTGACTGAGCATTTAACAAAGCAACACTAAGAATCCCATTTCTACAGGAAAGAATAAATGCAGCACACACGTGAATCAGTATTTGAATAGAAAATTCCTAGGGAGACACCCCACAAGGTGTCATCTTGGAATTACAGGATCTGAGAAGATGTAAACTTGTGTGTCTATGTCTATTAAATTAGGCTCTTTGGATACAAAAATCCCTGGACAACTAGCAGGTATTATGTTAACTTTAAGACTTAAGATGTTTTCCCAAGTGAAACACAGTTATAGCAAACTTATTATGCTTTTTCATATTATAAAATTACCTAACTTGATACATATAAATTGTAACTAGATGGGACACATCCCTAAACAGACAACCCCCACCAACCTGAACACAAAAGGGAAAACGACCACAAACAAGAATTTGTTACATCTGCCCTCAGCGAAAACTGACACGCTCACTCTCTGGACCGTTTCTTGGCAAATTTGCTGTTATTTTTATTCACGGCGTGAGCGGTGTCACTGACCTCTCAGCTTCCACAGACCTGCAGCAGCGGGACACAAACATGCTGAGTCAAGGACAGAGAGAACAGTGCAGCACAAGCACCAAGAGCTCTGTGGGGAAGGATGGCGGCCGTTCCCCTTAACAGCCCAGTCACGAGAACGGGGTCAGCTTAGAAGGTGGACAAACGAGAACGCAGTCTCAGATCTTCAACAAAGTGATGAAAAACGATTTAAAATGTAAAGGCATCTCAAAGAAGTTAGGTCTGTGGGTATCAACAAGATGACTCAAGTTCACATGGAGGCAAAAGACCCAGAACGGCCAACACCATATTGAAGGAGAAAAAGTCAGAAGACCGACACCGTCTGACTTCAAGACTTAGCATCGAGATGGTCCTGTACTGGCAGGATGGACTAACTGATAAATAGACCAGAACAGACTCCAGACACAGAATCAGTCGTCTGACAAACGAGCAAACACAATATAACGGAGGAAAGACAATTTCCAGCAAGTGGTGAACTACTGGACACCCACACATGAAATGAATCTAGACAAAGACTTTATCTCCTTTACAAAATTCAACGTAAATGGAAAACGCCACGCTGTAAAGCTCCCAGAACATGACACAGGAGAAAAATCTAGCTGATCTAGATAAGACAACTGATGACTTTTAGGTACACCAAAGACACAGCCCAGGAAATGAACTGGTAAGCTGGACTTCTTAAATTGGGAACTTCTGCTCTGTGCCAGACACTGTCGAGAGAATGAGAGAGAAGACAAGCCACAGACACAGAAGAGATTTGCAAAAGACCGAGTTGATAAAGGACTGCTATCCAAAATATACGAACAACTCAAACTCATCAATAAGACAACGAATGACAAATGGCAAAATATCCAGACTCCTCCCCCAAAGAAGAGATGCAGATGGCAACAACACACGAAAAAATGCTCCACATCATATGACAGCAGGGGATTGCAAATCAACCCACCTCTACATGCCTCTCAGAATGGCCAAAATCCCGGTCACGGACACCACCAAGCGCTGGTGAGGATGTGGTGGGAATGCAAACAGGTTTGCTGGTTTCTCCCAAAACGAAACATACTCCTCCCCGAACAATGAGCAATCACGCTCCTCAGAATCTACCCAAATGAGCTGAAAACCTACGTCCACACAAAAACCTACACGTGGATGTTTACGGCAGTTTTATTGGTAATTTCCCGAACTTGGAAGCAACCAAGATGTCCTTCCATAGGTGAGTGAAGGACTGTGGTCCTTCCAGACAATGGAATATCATTCAGCGCCACAAAGAACCAAGCCATCAAGCCATGAAGAGACATGGAGAAACCTGCAACGTCCATTCATTACTAAGTGAAGAAGAAGCCAATGTAAAGAAGCTACATATGACCCTGAGTACAGCTGACACTCAAACAAAGGGGGGTGTGTGGACCCCCTCGTGTGCTGAAAATCTGTGTATAACTTTTGATTCCCCCAAAACTTAACCACTAATAGCCTACCGTTCACCAGAAGCCCCACTGATAACCGACTGTCAACATATCCTGTTACACGTGTTGTGTGTATTAAATATCGTACTCCCCATAAAGTAGCTACGGAGAACAAAATGTTATAAAGAAAACCATTATGGAAAAGGAAACATTTACAGCACCATACTGGACTTACTGAGGAAGATGCACAGAGAAGGGGGCCCACACAGTTCAAACCCGTGCTGTTCAAGGGTCGACTGTACATTGTCCAAACCCATAAAACGTAGAGCACCACGAGTGAACCCTGAAACTATGGACTTGGGGTGATGATGAGGGCCTCCCTGTAACACATGTATCGCTCTACAGGGAGACACGGAGAGGCCCTGCCTGTGTGGGGGCAGGAGGTAGACGGGAACTCTCTGCACTTTCTGCTTCATTTTGCTGTGAACCTACAACTGCTCTAAAAACAGTCTATTAAAAACAAAACTGCAACAGGCTTAAAAGCTACATTTCCAGGGCACCTGGCTGGCTCACTAAGAGGAGCAGCAACTCTTGATCTTGGGGTTGTGGGTTCGGGCCCCATGTTGGGTGTAGAGATTACTTAAAGATAAAATCTTTAAAAATAAAAAATAAAGGCTCCATCTCCAGCATCTTAAAAAACAATACACCCTGCCATAGGCAAGTCAATGAGGTGTTGCTGAAGTCACACAATGGCACCCCGTTACCTACATGCGCTCCTGGGAAACACGGGGGGCGGGGCAGCCGAATGCTCTCTCAGAAAAGGCCCCCGGGGAAGCTGCCTGGTTGGGGCCGGAGGACCACACCTGTTGCCTCCCCAGTCTCTACACACCTGTGACGCCTCCACTCTCCGCAGTCTTCTTGACTTTCTGCTGGTCGTCCCACCTAAGCTCAGAGAAGCCATCCACCTCTACGTCGGGGTGCCGGATGGAGTGGCCAACCTTCCAGAAGCAGGAGAAGTGGTACCAGTGCGGGACTTTTCCATCAAACATGGGCGACTGGAAGAGAACAGAGGGAGGTGAGGGAGCAGCCATAAGCCCAACCCTCAGCAGGTGCGCACAAGACGCCCTTTTTCTCCTTCTCTGTAAAACGAGGACTGTGCCCGTGTCCCCCATGTCACGTGAGAAAAGCTGTGAGCCGATGAGAAGTGGCATCCCAGTCCAGATTTCTCAAGATCTTCTCCAACAGTCATCTGCCGAGGTGGAGTCTGTTCTCAGGATGCGGGACATGGATGGGGAAGAACATGGGGAACAGTGGTGCTTCTGAACAGAGTTCTGCCCCACGGGCCGCACACCTCAATGACTCAACTTCCCTCCAACGCCGTGGAATGCACACAGGACCCCTGCTCCGTGACCCCATCCTGCTGTGCCTGCCTGGGAGGCCAGCGCCCGCCTCCGTCAGGCCTGTGTAGCCCAGAAAGGGCTCTTTTAGTGCCTCTGCTGTTAGAACGAGGAACAAGTCCCAGATAATGAGCAAAGCAGAGAAAATGTGTCAGGAAACTATGTCAAGCCGGCAATAGCCGCACCAATGTGAGTGGAATGAACGAACTTCTCCGAGGGTGAACTGCCCAGGGAGCCAACGACAGCAGTCCCCAGGGCCTGGAGCTGGAAGGTCAGTGTGCGCCCCGAAGTCCGGCCGCAGGGGAAGGTGCTGCCCCTCTCACCGTGCACTTCCTCTGTCCTTTGATGCTTCACACTCGGGTTGTTCCTGACGCGACAGCATCAGGTTCCTCTTCTGGGGACACTACCAGCTCTGGGCTCCCGGGCCCTGAGCACCGTCTGGCCTCAGTGGATGGTGACAGTGACCGGGCAGAGGGGGACTGGCACCCTTCACAAGCCATCACGAGTAACCCTCAACTGCCTCTGGGTAGGAACCAGCACCCCCATTTCACAGATGTCTGCAGCAAATGACTCAGCCCTACTTGGACCAGACAGCAAAGTTCTGTCCACTCACTATGCTGCTTGGCAGGAAGAGCTACTTAAAAATACATAAATGGGTCTGACCAAAGCAGAGGAGGCTCCAAATATTTGCTTTTATAGGAAATAAAGCTAAATACCATGCAGAAGGAATAAACAGCATCAAACATAAACACCACATAGGAATTTTTGGATGGAGTTGTCAGACAGGGGACATGTTCTGGAAAAGCAGCAATGACTTCTCCCCCTCAGCCCCCGCTGGCTGTGAGTGGTCTTTTTCTCAGTGTAATACATGACAGGGAAGGTTCACGCCAGGGCACGTCAAGGACTCCCCAGCATCAAGCAGCCCGGTGTACAGCACACCAGCTGTTCCCTTGGCCCAGAATGCCCGACAGCCCTACTCAGCTCCCCAGAAGGCTCCTCCCAAGCCCCTCCCAGCTAAGAACAATCCATTTGGGCGATGATAGGGTCAATGCCTGTGTCCTGCACTGGGCTGGAAGCTCCCCGAAGGGCGCGATGCCCGTCTTCCTAGCATCGGGCAACACCTGCTCATAGAAGGCACTCAGAGTGTGGACACCCCAAGTCTGGAGATAAGAAAGCGGAAGGGAAGGATAGGGGAATTCCTGCTGGGGAAAAGATACCCTCCAAACCTAACAAAAGATGGTCCTCCCCACCCCCAATAAATGGCATTCCCAAATGGACTTGTGTTCTGGCTCCCAAACTTCCAAGGCAGGCGACACCTCCAGAAGCGTCCGCCATCTTACTGTATGTCCGCAGTGGCTTGCACTTGGGCTCCTCCTGCCTTGGTGCCCCGTCTACCCCTCCTCCGCAGCGTTCGGGTCACACTCATGCACAGGACGACATGTGGCCCAGTGCCTCTGCCCCACACTAGACCCTGTGACTGTGGCATTGTTTCCTGGCTCTGGTGGGAACCTTGGTCTGGGTGCTGTGTGTCCCATCAGTGCAGTGTGGGGCGACCGAGAGGTGCAGCCCAAGGGTGTACTCACAGCACCAGCTTGGGGGGACTGTAGGGGCTCCAGGTCACCCTTCAGAGTAAGGACCCCTGACCAAAGCCAAGCTTTACCCTAGAACTTGGGAGTGACAATGATGTGAAAGGGAGGGAACTGGAACAAGGTCACAAGACTATGCTTCCACTTGGCAACTCTAAGTGGCAGAATTTCTTGTGTACTAGGCAAACACACTCCCAGCACCTACCAGGGACCTGGGTCCTCACTCGGCCAACTCTGTTTCCCTCTGCATCAAACCGGCCAGCACACTGCCCACCTACCCAGAGAGCACGGAATGACGGTTAACAGTGTGAAACCCTGCTGTTTGCCCCACAACTGCCCAACACAGAAGAACGCCCGGCCCACCCCTCAAAAGGCTGCAAAGTTCGGCCCCTGGAGGCTGCCCCAGGGCACACTGACCTAAAGTATCAGGTATCTGACACTCAGAACAATCCTCCCATACAAATGTAAAAGAAGGTATTTAAATCCAAATGGGAGAAGAATGGCTTCATTCTTTCTGGGCCTCCAATCTGCCTACAAGACCAGACTTTAACAACTCCACCCCTAACTAGTTACAGAAAACCACCTACTTTTTTTCCCCCCCTGGAACTGGATTTATTCAGTGAATTGGTTTTAATAGTAATTTCTTTCACTATCAGGAATGCCAGACTAGCCCTCCTCTGTATTCGGCATACTGGCTGTACGAAGGTTTTCTGCTGTCCTTCCCGATAGGACAGGGTTCTCTCTGGCTGACTAGTGAAGCCTATGGATGTGCTTTTCTCTAATAAAATTTAAAAATGCATAATAGAATACATGGACTCACAAAAGAAACTAATTAGACTGAAGTAATTATCAAAACATTTAAGAATCTGGTGGGATACAATGAGCTTAGAGCATGAAATAAGATTTAGCGTCCACTCTAACAACTACAGTAACTTTGAATACTGATGAGCATAATGGATTATTTTGAGAAATCAACAAATATAAAGCAGTACGAAAATATCTGTAATTACCACTGGTGACAAAAATCATAGGTACTGCTTCTGCTTTTCTGCATTTTGCTGCTTTACATTCATAACTGGAGGAAGTAATGAATTTTATTTTAGAATTAGTGACTAGAGAAATGTAAATTTCTTCTCAACCCACTGACTGCCACCCCACAGATTTTAGGTTAAGCGCCCCTGCACTGAGGGAGATTCTCCTTTTTATTATTTTAAAAATATTAATTCCAAGATAGTTAACAGTGTTATAAAAAGGAACATCTGATCTTGTAGTCCATTCGTTCAGATTTAAGATCAGAGAGGCTTAGTGGTAGATCTGACTCTTTAGATGGTAGGCCTCATCTGCTTCTCCAGCCTCAACTTCCTGCCACTTCTGTGCTTAAGGATCCCTAATCAAGCTCCCACCCCAGGCACTCCATGCCTGGTACACAGGTATGTTTAACAGTTATTGTCCCTTTAACCAAGCTGGTGGCTCCAGGGGTGGGCAGGGGGGGCTCTCTTGGTGCTTCTAGTACCTAATGCAGTGCCTGACATGCTCGGTGTTCACAGAAGGGTAGGTACAGTGCGGCAGGTACTGAGTTAGATAGACCACAGCCCCAGTCTCTAAGTGCACCTGGCACTTGGTACCCACTCTGCCCCACCAGGTAAGTACTGAAAACCCAGGGAGGACTATCTGGTCGTTCCTAAAACTCACTGCTGCCTCACTGCAGGGAAAGAAAATCAAGTTACCTAGACCACGAGCACTGAACTTAGTGAACAGAAGCTTCATGTTGGAGAAGAGTAGGACAGGGCAGGGGAGAGCCGAGATTTAACAGGCAGACGGGCAGACTGGCAGCTGGAGGATGCAGGAAGCCCTCCGCCCTGGCAGGGGCCCTCAAACACACCGCCCAGCCCCACACCCCCATCTAGGAAGCCTCAGGAACCCGTCGGGGCATCTCCGGTGTGTCCAGAAGCCCCGACGAGCACCCCCGCTGAGCCTCTCTTACTCAAACCAGACAGCTCTAAATGCATCGGGAAGAAAACGCGCCTGTGAACCTGGAAGCTTGGGGAAAACATTATTTCAAACCACGAATTAGGCCAAAAGTGAATGCACTGTACAGAAATGACACCGGCCGGTATAGTTCTGCATAATAGAAAAAAAACCGAGAGTAAGCGGCTGGGTTTAAGCCATAAACGAAAATAAATTCAAAAAAACTCCTCACGCGCCAGTCGCCATCATCGATGCAGGACAAAAATCTTCCAGCACGAGGGAGGTCAGAACCAGGCCAGCCTCAGAAGCCCACGCTCGCCCCTCCCCCCCCGGCGGACGGCGGGGAAGGAAGCAGCCCCCCCGCCCAGCGGCAGCGCTCGGGGCCCGCACTTCCCGGGCTCTGGCGGGCGGGCGGGTGCCGGCCTCGCGCAGGCTCCCGGGGGCGGCCCCTCCCCCGCACCGCGCACAAAGCGGCCGCGCGCACCTGCACCATGATGGCCATGCGCAGCGAGTCCTTGGGGATGCTCTCGCTGCATTTCTTGCAAGACGCGCGCCCGCTCTTGGCGTACTCCACCCGGTAGAGCTTGTCAGAGGACTCCGCCATCGTCCCCTCGCGCCGCTGCCCGCTCCGGGCGCCCCGCCCTGGACACGCGCCGCCGCCGCCGCCCGCTCCTCGT